AGGAGGAGGAGGCAGAGGAGGAGGCGGAGGAGGAGGAGGCGGAGGAGGAAGAGGAAGAGGGGAGGATGATGAGGAGGAGGAAAGGAGGAGGAGGGGGAGGGGAGGAGGAAAGCCAGGGAAAATTGAGGATGATGATAAAGATGACTTTCCACAGTATAACACAGTAGTAACATTTATTTCACTTTCCTTATCTATAGAAGAGGAGAGAGTAGACAGAGAGAGAGAGAGTAGTAGACAGAGAGAGTAGTAGACAGAGAGAGTAGTAGACAGAGAGAGTAGTAGACAGAGAGAGTAGTAGACAGAGAGAGTAGTAGTAGGTGTAAATGCGTCGCACCTGCGCCGAACTATCCTGCTAACCTGTTTAGATACGAGCGTGGATGAGATTGTCCGCAGCGGGCGGTGAGCACACTGATCCACTGCCCATTGTCCAGCAACTAAGAAATGCACTCACCTCCCTTACATGCCACCAGCTCCCCGTGTGTGTGTGTGTGGTGGGGGGGGGGTTAAAGGTGCCTAATCACGTAGGATTTTCGTCTTGTGGCAAGTGACAATTAGTAGAGGGTGAAACCCAGGTAGAGGAGACTACAGAACTAGCCATGAGGCGGCTAGATTTAGAGTTACGAGTAGTACATGTTCTGCACCTATTGAAAAGCGGTATTTTTCTCACATATAAGGTCTACGGTGCAAGCGTGGCTAGGCACCTTTAAGTGAAATACGCCGCCACCAATGTTAGTCCGTGCTCAACACACGACCCTGATCTCACACAATGCATGTCATTGTCCAGTCCGCTGTTCACATTGTCCGGCAAAGCACGTTCTAAACTGTGCACTCCGTGACCCCGCGCTGACCTTTAGTAGTCTAAATAGCGAGGAGTGCGTGGGTGATAGCGAAATATTTACCTTCTCAGAGCGCGGACAAGGAGTGGACAACAGGTAGCCGGAGCGTCGGGGGGAGGCGGGGGGAACAAATGAATAGATGAAAGGAGTGTGCAAACAACGGGCGGACATACCACATGAAATGTGAGAATGCGCAGGATAAACTTTACAGAGAGACGAACAAACGCCAGGAAACGTTCGTTTTCATTAGAACGTTTGAAGTAGGAATTGCTGAGATCCCATCTCTCCGTTCCTACTCTCTGCTTCTTTCTCCGTCCCCCTTTTCTGCCCCTCTCTGAGCCTCTCTTTTTTGTCATGTATATTGTATGGGAGGGGAGGTTTAAGAGGATGAATGAGTAGTGGGGGTGGGGGCACAAGATGGATGACATTTACGCAGTTACCTAATGACACTTGACGACTCACAATAGATACACTGCGCACTAGGGTACATGTAACTACAATATTGTCAGATTGGAATCTAGCACGATATACATGTAAAGTGCAAGGTTAGAGACTATAACATACATGTAGGGTGTCAGGTTACATACTATAACATACATGTAGGATGTAAGGTTACATACTATAACATACATGTAGGATGTAAGGTTACATACTATAACATTAACATTGTAGGGTATAAGATTGGGGTGTATGATATACATGTAGGGTATAATGTATGATATACATGTAGGGTGCAAGGTTGGATTGTTTGACATACATGTAAAGTGTAAGGTTAGAGTCCATGACTTACATGATACAACCGATGGCCCAAAAGTCTGCCTCATATCCGTGGCCTTCCTTATTAAGCACCTCAGGGGCAATATAGTTTGGTGTGCCGCATATCGTTCTGAAAAAAATAGCTACAATCAGCATACACAGCAGCAAATACACATTACTATTACTACTAAGTTAAACTATTATAACGAACTATTAACCATTTATGTGATTGTTATTATGATAACTAGATATTATTTACTGCATATATATACATGCATATAAATATATGTGCAACATCAACTGAACAAATACAATATAGCTCTAATTCTATATAGTGGTCAATGAGATGGAGTTTCTATAGAATCTAGTTAACAATAGAAGCAACTCCTAGACTTTCAAATGATGGTATGAATTCTTGTCAGTGCTACGAGTCGCAACTTAATTCCCATGGCTCCAAAGTTATCAATGTTGACAGGCGGACAGTAAAGAGTGTGACACAAAAATCTTTGGAGGCAAAATTGAGCTAGTGAATGCCACATAACGAACGCACGGGAGTTGAATTCAACACGCGTCACGGCTGAAAAGCAGGCGCGAAGCTGTCAGCAGGAGGGACAAAGAAAAATCCTGCACCAGCCGGTGTTTGTGACGTCACAGGGAGAAGTGTAAAAAGAAAAACAACATGTTACTGGCGGGTGTCTAGGGGTACGGCACTCAATCCTCCATCACGATAGACCCTGCATATTCTTACATGGCTCGCATTAGTAATTCACGAGCTGACGCGTGAACAAAAGACAACTGCATGGATATTATTATGCAACATTGGTCACCAAGATGCAATATTCCCCCTAACAAACTGTAGCTATTACAACACAGGGAGAGTTCTTCTATAACGCACCCGGTTATAAGTTACAAAGACCAACTTTGTCATCTGCTCCCCGCCCACTAAGCTATCTCTATAGCTATCAAGCTATCAATTGATTTAGCTATCAATATATCTATCTAGCAATTGATTTAGCTGTCTATCTAGCTACCAATTGATTTAGCTGTCTATCTACCACCCAGCTATCTACTTACATAGCAATCTATCTAACTAACGATCTATCTATTTATTTATAATCAACATCTATCTAGCTAGCTATGTATCGCTCTGCACATGAAACAAGTGAGCAGCGATACTTACATCTTGCGGTTGGTCGTGGCTTCGACCCTGGTGGCGAGTCCAAGGTCACCGATCTTCACCTGCATCTCCTCGTTAAGTAACATGTTTCCCAGCTTCAGGTCACGATGAATGACCTTCTGACTGTGAACGTACCTGCGAATACGAATAATTAATTTATATTATATTATATATATTAATAATAATTAATAACGAACACATCACAGCATCAGCAATCGGGTGGTACCCTCACACGACACGTGGCGCCCTCACGCGACAAGTGGCGCCCTCACACGACACAGGTACCATACACACAATGTATACTGCATCAATACACAAGCTGCACCATGTAGTAGTGACCCTTGGATGGGTGGTGGGAGGAGGAGTGGGAGGTGGGTGGTGGACGGTGGACGAGGTGGGTGGTGGACGAGGTGGGTGGTGGATAGTGGGAGGGGTGGGTGGTGGGAGGTAGTATATACATACCTGCATCCATACACCAGATGCACCATGTAGTAGCAGCGACCCTTGGATGGGTGGTGGGTGGTGGATGGTGGGAGAGGTGTGTGGTGCGTGGTGGGTGGTGGGAGGGGTGGGTGGTGGATGGTGGGAGTATATACATACCTGCATCCATACACCAGATGCACCATGTAGTAGCGACCATTGGATGGGTGGTGGGAGGAAGGAGGAGGGAGGGGTGGGTGGTGGGTTGGATGGTGGATGGTGGGAGGGGAGTATATACATACCTGCATCCATACACCAGATGCACCATGTAGTAGCGAACTTCTGGCTCTGTTAGAGTTCGCCGATGCTTCAATACGTGCACGAGCGACTGAAACACAAGAACGTTCATAACGTCAGTAATGTCGGACAGCCACATAGGAGTAACACAAGAACATTTGTAACATTAGTAATGGTAGAAAACCAGACAAGAGATCCGTAACGTTAATATATACAAACTTCTGCTCATTAAAACACATGAACAGCCTTAGTTTAAATAAAATACAAGAATGTGCAAACCATCCATGAAACATGACATACATATACTCGAATCTGTGGGGAATAACGTCAAGTTCTTGTGTAAACATTACGAATAGCTTTAGGGAGTCGAATAGCAACAGGATCGCAGCTCGACGCTACATCTACTGTCTGTAGTTATTACACTTTTATCTGCATGAATAAGTAATGCAGCTGATATTCATTTCACAAATATAATTAACTTGTTTGTCAGCAATTCGATACGCCGTCCGTGTAGAATTTAAACGAACATTTAACTTGTCTCAGGCCAACAGGGGAGTAACAGCCATGCATCAACATGACAAGGAAATATTGCCCTGGCTAAAAGCAGTAAATCGTGGCAGTCATAAATAATGATTCCCGTTCTCTCTCTCTCTCTCTCTGTTCCACCCCTTCTCTATACTCACTCTCTCTCTCTCTCTTCTCTCTCCTCTCTCTCCTCCC